AGGAAGGAAGGAAGGAGCTGATGATGGATAAGAGGGAGGGAGGGAGGGAGGGAGGAAGGAAGGAAGGAAAGAAGGAAGGAAAGGAACCACAGTTTTTTTTTTACCTCATTGATTACATTATCCTCCTTGGGTTAACTGGCTACAGCTTACTAAAACTTTCCTATTAAAGTTTGCACCACTAGAGATTATTGTAATCCATTTATTGTGCCCAGCAGATCCACCAGTTTGCTATGTTCACGACTAGAGATGGGTACGAACTGGTTTGTCTCAGTTCGTAAAATCAGCAGAACAGGTGCTGATGCTCTCCTTCCCGCCTCCTTTGGCTCAAACAGCCACTCGCTCACTTGCTTTTCTCACCTCCTCGGCTCATCTCCCAGTCAGGAGCAAGAGCCCAGACTTCTCTGCCCCGCCCCTTCTCTCTGATTGGGAGATCAGCCGAGAAGGCGGGACAGAGAAGCCTGAGCTCTCGCTTGGACTGGAAGATCAGTGGAGGACGGGCAGGAAGCTCTCCCAATAGGCCTAGCAAGCAGCTGATTGAGCCAGAAGAGGCGAGGAAGAGGAACATCATCATCATCTGTGCTGCCGCCTTGACGAAGTAGGACAAACCAGTTCGTGCCCATCTCTATTCTGGACCCTAATTTACGACTTGTCAGGGGTGGGAGGGTGGAGTGAGTGGGTGACAGCATGCAGAACATCTGAGCTAAGCTCTCCCAATAGGCCTAGCAAGCAGCTGATTGAGCCAGAAGAGGCGGAGAAGAGGAACATCATCATCATCTGTGCTGCCGCCTTGACGAACTAGGACAAACCAGTTCGTGCCCATCTCTATTCTGGACCCTAATTTACGACTTGTCAGGGGTGGGAGGGCGGAGTGAGTGGGCGACAGCATGCAGAACATCTGAGCTGTGATTGTTTTGGATTAGAGGAAACCACTGAGCTAAACCATTTCATCAAGATCCCTAATGCCTTGCAGCTTAGCTGCCATCTTTAAAGTAGCTTCGGGTGGGGGGGAATGCTTCTGTTTAAGAAAAAGTCTTTTGGAGATGACTGAGTCTTAAATAGGCCATCAAGACCTGTTAGCCTTGTAAAATACCTGCTTCTGGTAACCCATTTCTGAGTATTCTCTACCTGGAATACCCTGAAACGGGTCGCCAGAAGTTGGAATTGAGTCGATGGAACATCATGATGACGATGATGATGATGATGATGATGATGATGATGATGATGATGATTTGCCTCTATGTGACATTTCTTTTTCTTTTTTTTCACCCTACAGATCTGCACACACACACCCCAAAGCATGCATGTTGTGTGAGTCCATGGCGGAGTCCCCTGCTTTCTGCTTTAGGGTGGCCACCGGCCCAACTTGACAGAAGCCACTTCTCTGTTTGAAGGCAACCTTTACTTCACAAAGGAGCCAAGGAGGGCCTTCAGATGTGGCTGGACTACAGCCCCCAGCATCCCTGGTGACTGGCCATGCTGCTTAGAGCTGATGGGAGTTGTAGTCCAAAAATATCCGTAGTGTGGGGTTTGTTTGTTTTTTGCTCATTCCTAGTCTCTCTGAAGGGCCATGTCGTGAAGCCTGAACCGTAAGAAGAGTAAGCAGAGATCAAGATCAAGAACTGTAAGAAAAGTGAGCACCATAAATAAGAGCGAGCAAAACAGTTGAGGGACATCAGGCAGGGCAGATGCTTGATCAGTTGAGACAAGGAGGAGCCCATGAAACTGCAGGAGACCACTTTTCAATTTGCATCTATAGATCAACCGGTTAGAGATCTTCCAACCTTGCATGGTGCATTTTGTGGGTGTGGCCGAGAGGGACCTTTCTGGGCTCGGACGACTGTCCATCTATTCAGCATTAGCCAATCACTCCTTCCTGTATCTGAACTGAAAGAGTCCCACCCCTCTGCTGAGAGGTTCCTTTTCCTCTCTTTAGTCTGTTGAAGTCAGTTGGTTTCTTTATTTGCTGTCGAGCCGTCCACAACTGCAACCCATGAAACATTTCCATTCTGTCTCCTACAAATATCTCAGAATGAGTTACTGAAACTGTAAGCGTCTGTTAATGAGAAAGGCGTGGACTATCTGGGTAACTTGAAGCTGTTCTCCCCTGGAAGGCTCTGTATGTCTCCAAAAAGGGAATTTTACCAGAAATTCAAAACTCTGCAACACTACCTTGGGTCTTTGCCCTTTTAATACAACCTGGTGTCCTCTCCTGCTTTCTTTATTTGGTGACGCATGAGCAGGCCTTCTCGTATGTACATTCATGCACCCACTCACCATCGCCCAGAAAGAGAATGACGTTCTTTGCTCGGTGATTCATCGGGGTCAAGTTGAGCGCTGTTTCCAGTTTCTGCCTGGCTTTTGTGTTCCAATACTCTGGATCCTTTTCTTCCTCTAGAAAGACCATGAAAAGAAAATTTAGAAAGAATTACCTTGGGCAAGCAGTGAAGATCTTTTCCCGCTGGCAAGACACGGATCCGGGCACAGAGGGTCAAATCCAGTGTGGACGTCCGGCCCCTCCAGATCATCTGGACAACAATACCCATCGTCTGCAGTCAGCATGGGAAGTGGATACTCAAAAGGCCTCCACTGAAGGCTACACGGTGCAACACTGACACTAGTGACTCCTGTGTTATGCTGAACCTCCACATACAGGAGCAGTACACCAGAAAGAAGGTGTGAACCCAGAAGGCAGAAAAGCTGCAATCACCTTCCGGTTGTGATTGGAAGGGAGAAGGGGAAGCCCTTGTAACAACCGAAGGAATTGGGGTGAATAAGGCTGAATCTGGCTGCCTTGTTCATACATCCTGAAAGAGAGAAGATGGGCAGATAACATCAAGAAGATCTAGACCAGCGGTTCCCTACCTTGGATGGTCTTGGACTACAATTCCCAACAATCCTGGCCAGCACAGCGAGTGGCGAAGGCTTCCGGGAGTTCTCGTCCAAGAAAGTCTGGGGATCGAAAGTTAGGGAACCACGGATCTAGAGTAGTATGTTGATGGGGGGTTATGGAATATGTAGTCTAGCCTACCTGGGCAGCACCCCGTTGAGGAAGGCTCATTGAAAAGTCGGTACGCAAGTGGATATGAAGTCAGTTTTACTTAACAATGTTTTTCTCTTCACATGAAGGAAATGACAGACCTATCTACCAAGTTTTACTTCTCTTTAATGACATCTCATTCCTGTTTTTTTAAATAGAGAGGGGTCTCCCAACTGTCTGTCTGACTAGCACTTCCAGGGAGTTTGAATGGGCACACTTACCATGGCTTGGGGGTCAGATCAGATCAGAGTCCTATATAGAGCAGGGGTCCCCAACCTTGGGTCTCCAGATGTTCTTGGACTTCAACTCCCAGAAATCCTGGCCATCAGAGGTGGTG